CCCGCCGAGCAGGGAGCCCGATGTGGGGCTTGATCCCAGAACCCTGGGACCATGACCCAAGCCGAAGGCAGACGCTTAACGACTGAGCCACCCAGGCGCCCCTTCTAACTAGTTTTGTAAGCTTTATAACATACACGATGTCTCACCTAATGGTGCCTTTTTAAAGTACTTTGACAAGAGGTATAGTTACATGGAAAAGGAGAAGCCATTTTAACTAATTACCAAAATCATTTTTCTGATTAACCTAGATACTCTTCCTCTTCAGTTTTAGTTTGTGAAATAGAAAATAAATTGGTAGAGCCTTTTGGATTATAACTTGTCATCATGATCTCAATTGACTGATTCTTATGAATTCCATTTAGCTCCAGAAGAAAAAAACCTGTAATACAGGTATGTCTTTACTTTAGGTCAGTCTTCCCTCTCCCACCTTGTCTTTGTCATAGTAGTGATGAGGTATTCATTCAAGATTCTATGCGGCTTGTTTGATCTCCAAAACTTATGATAAATTAACTATTCCAGTTTGGGAAAGTAACTGATTTCTAGAATATCTTATTACCAAGGTTTTATGACCGCTAGAAAGATGTAGTAAATTTGAACACTAACACTTTGCTTCTACAATTTTGAATATCTACTCTTTCTTACAGGCTATAGAGAAACATCTTATTAAGAAGTCCCGAGGAGGTCTCACCTTTATTGGAGAATGGAAAAACGGGCACTTGGAAAAGAAGATGGGGCATTTGGCCTGTTTTGCTGGGGGAATGTTTGCACTAGGAGCAGATGGTTCCAGAATGGATAAAGCTGGTCATTATTTAGAGCTAGGGGCAGAAATTGCACGTACATGTCATGAGTCATATGACAGAACTGGTAAGAGTATTAGTAACACTAACTACTTAGTCTAACATAACCTCTAAGTTAAAAATATATCCAGGAATTAGAAGGAAAACATATAGGCATTTTTCACTTTAAAATAGGTTATTCTAATACAGTAAATCATTTTCTTAAGAACTTGAATTTTAATTCTGGAAATGTGTTCCTGCATCATTTTTTAAAATTATTCTGAATTCTACTGATTTTATTAATAAAGATTTTGAAGAAATTGTTTTAATGATGAGAGGCGGGGCATTTGAGGATGTATAGGATGCCATTATTTATTTTAATACAGTAAGAATCCATTTTAGCCATTCTTTTCATTGGCTTCTGTAAAACTAGTTACTTTTTAAAAGAACACAAAATTGGCTGATTGAGGTTACTTGCCTTGTATATCTTCTTGTGAAAATAAGAATGACCAAAATATAATAGTTATATTGAATGTATTCGTCAGTTCACCAATAATTTTTGGGTTGATTGTGCCTAAGACTAAAAAGAGTTTTTTTAGGCAAATACGTAATATTTCTGGGCTTCAGTGTCCTTACCTGGAAAATGAGATGGTTCTCAATGGTAAAAAAGATTGTCCTTGGGAGTGAAAAAAAAAAATCTTTTTTTTTTTTTTTAAATATATAAAGACTAGATAGATATGCAGTCATAGATAAACAGTGTATATTTATTAAAATTTCCTGGAGAGAGAAGGCAATCAGGTTTTTTTAAAAAGCCTGAAAAAGGATTGAGAAATACTGAAGTAGACCTTCCAAGATTTTTTTCTGGTTTTAAAAAAGTATTTCTACATGAAATAATGGAAAAAGAGTTCCCAGAAAGACTAAAAACTAGGAATTTCTGTTTGTGATTTCAGAAGTTGAATTGTTGCTTTTATGAAGTAACTGAATTTCCATTTTAGGATTATTTTGCCGTCAGGTATCATGACACAGGTATGAGTGGCTTAAAATTTATCCTAGCTCATCTTAGTTCATAAATCTGTCAGGTTATTTTTATATAATAAGGAATTAAACTTACGATGAAATTGACCTTTCAGTTCCCTCAGTTAAGGATTCCATTTCTTGACAAAATACAATAAGTCAAAAGGACATTGAAGCAGATGGTAGAGTGGTTTAGTGTTGGTATGTAGTACATGTAAAGTTGGTGATCTAATTATAAATGGAAGCTAAATTATATTATATTGACTATATAGAGTATCAAATATATATTTAAAATACAGCTAAAATTAGTAAAACTTTGAGGACCAGAATGGATATTCAGTGTATGTACTCTAGGACCCATGATAATAAGACTTGTTATGCAGATTTTGACCACAAATGAAATAATAGACGTATAATAGGATTTCATACAGCAGACATGTTAAAAATATGATATACTATTGTTACTATCATTAATTATTCACTCCATTAAACATGAACACCAATGATGTGTCAAGCCTTATGCTGGATGCTTACAGATGAAAGTGTGAATAAGAGCTATCCCCTACCTTTGAGAAATTCACAGAATACCAGCGTTATGAGAGGATTCCCTGACTGTCACATTTCATAGAGACCTTGCAAATGCTGATATGAAGTACTGTGATACTGTAGAAAGGAAATGTGCCTAGGATTCAAAAATCCCACGTTCCACTATTTATTATCTCTGAACCTTAGCCAACTCCTCATTTAACTTGCCTAATTCTCAGGTGCTCCATCTGCAAAAAACTGGAACAATAATACCTACCCTGTCTTCCTCAGTATGTTGTTATGAGTATAAGTGAAATTTTAAGCAATCCAGCCTGTGGTTGTTGCAGTCATGCTGGTTCTGATGGTCACTCTCACATGGCAACTCTGAGCCTGGGACGCTCTTTGCCATGGTATGCCCCAAAAGATTACTGTTTGATTTGTGTCCTGCATTTTCAAGTCTTTCACTGTTTTTACATATTTAATCTCAACTTAGATCCTTTAATTAAAAGGTACAATCCTAGTGTTGCTTCTTTCTCACTTGGTTATTACATCTCCTGTGTTTTGGTATAGCTGTGCTATAAGTTTTTGGCCGGCTTGTTTAAAAATATCCATTCACTTTTTAGCAATTATTCCAGCTAAATTCATATGATAAGGACTTTGGAATTTCATTTTCATTTGTTAATTGGAATTAGAATTAACATTAATGCAAAATTTGGTAATCCTCATATATTTCACCTTATTGATGAGCATGGGCTGCTGCTAAATAATTTAGCTAGGTTTGTAGGAAACATGGCTGAATCTGTTCATGAAATTGAGTAGTAATTTAGTGTAGTTTCAGACCTTATTGTATCTACATGGGAAGCTAGGTTGATACGTTGTTTTAGTTTATTTTGAGGTATAAGGCAGAATTGGTGCCAAACAAGATCTTAGACTTCCAAAATATAGTACTGTTCTTTTTTTTTTTTTTTTCTGGGTTTCTAGATTAAAAAAAACAAAAAAACAAAAAAAACCTACTGAACATGAATAAAATAATGACTGTTATTTAATTTAATTTACTTCTTATTGAAGTTGGCTAAGGTCTTCCCTAGATCATGTGCTATTATATTTTGGGGGAAATTTTAATGTTTAGATACATATAACATAGTGGACAAAAGATCCATTGGACATGAAGTTTTGGACATAACTCTTTTTTTCCTTAAAAGGAAGTTAATAGGAAGTTAATAATTTGATTATAGTCAAATCGCCTGTCCCAGAATATTCCTCATGCTTTTTTATCTTTTGTTGACCTGAGATGCTTATTTTTCCCATCTCTACAGATTCTATCTGGAGGACTCCTTACGACTTGCGAACTAATCTATGCCTTCTTTAAATGTATCTTTCACCATCTTACTTTTGACCTTTGTCACATTTGATATTTTATTTGATTTTTTTTTATTTGTGCATGTCTCTTACCTTTTTACTTAGGCACTAAATTATTTATGGTTTCAACTCAATTTTTACTTGCTGGCTTAGTTTCCTTTTAGAAATGAAGTACCAAATGTAAATGGGAAATTTAAGATAGAAAATAGAAATTAAGTGCAAGATAGATTGTTAGAAAATTATTTTTTATGATTCTTAAACAAAGGAGCACCTAAGAAATAATGCCCTCAGAAACATGAAACCAGTGATTTGACCAGCTTAATGGATGTAATTGGTATATAATTTAGGCTTGTACATTTTTATTTACCAACTCCTCACAAGGCAGATACATTCTCTTTCTGGTATGTTTTATTTGTGAAGTTATGAATGGCCAATAAGGGAGATACACTTTTTAGTGAGAAGTTTAAAATACTAGTTCCATGCAGCCAATTTCTACATCCAACTCAGGCGATAATATCATTACAGAAATTATTGTCTAATTTAAAGTTAGCCTTAAGATTAACATTTGAAAACTCCATATGATCACCTCTTAGCACTCATTCTTTGAGAAAGGAAAAACATAAGAAATTCAGATAAAATGACTTCCTCTATGTTTTTATTGCATTGCCATCATCTCAGTTCTTGATGATGTTTGACTTTTTTACCATTTTAAAAGCATTTATTAAATGCCAAATCATATTTGATCATATACTGACCTTGTCAGTAAACTGGAAAGAAGTTCTCTAACAAAAAATACTGATGAGTTGTTGGTTAATCCTAACCTCCAATCCCATTGAGGAGCTGGTAAAAGCTCTATGTGCACACAAAGTTATGCAAACAATTTTAGAGGCTTCTTGACAGAACACTGTCTTCTTCCAGAGTCTATCACAGAGTTCATGACCCTCAGGTTGAAAATCTCCTGCTTGAGTTCTGCTTTAGTTCTCTAAGACTTATCAGTCAACTCTTCTGCTCACATATTTTGCTTTCAGTAGAACTATTTACCATTGGTACAATGTTTTTGGTTTTGTGTTTTTTCTTGGGGGTGATGGGTTGGTGAGAAAGCCCCGATTTTCACGTTTGTATGGGATTAGTTAGAGCTTACAGTGTCTCCCTTGTAGTGCTGAACTTTGGCCACAGCAACCCATGTCGTTCCAGCAACTATGGCATGATTCTGTTTGTGGCTTACCAGCATTATAGTTCTTGTTTTACCTTTTCTTTTCTGAGAAAATATAAAAATGTCTAGCATTTTTTGAAAGAGGTAAGAGACCTTCAAACTACCCGTAAAAGGAAAGAAAAATGGCAGCTGAGAGTGGTAATTGTGTGTGAGTCCATCATCCCAGTGGAAAATGACTTTATATTGACCAGAGTTAGGGTGCTCGGTGTGATTAGAAAGACGTTATAAAAAAGACTTTGATGTAGTGCTGTATTCTAGCCTTGAACGAAAATCATGTCATTCAAAAAATAGTATGTAGCATTGAAATATATGTATAATGGCCCTATTTTATTCCAACTGATAAATGGGCAATACTGATGAAATTCTTGGTGATTGACAATTTGAATCTTTTCCTTGCTATATATACAGAGGCTATAGGAGAAAAGAGTTTATCTTTAAAACTGGTTTAAGTTTGAAAATATATTGCTTTTTATATATTATAGGATGCTTGAAAAGAAAAGTATATAATCTACACCTAAATCTAATTCAAGATCCGAGCTCTAAAATGTTTTCTGACATATGTGTGTTATGTTAAAAGGACTTTAAAATTGTCCTGACTTAAAAAAAAAAAATTCTACACAGTACAATTATCTGTCTCATTTTATTTTGGAACAGAACAGAATATGTAATGTGCTTATGTCTAGCTTTGCATTTGTTGCCAGAGGATTACTAGACTCTTGTCAGTATAGTTGGATTTAGCAGTATGTTGATGTACATTATGTATGAGAAACATTTCATGTCAGGATAATAGGAATATTTATAAGACTCGTATAAGAAAACCAAATGTGGATCTTTTAAAGTCACTGATTTTGCAAAACAGCAACAATAAAAATAAAACAATGAACATAACTTTATACCCCGATCTTTCAGGGGAAAAAGCAGCTCTGGCGAATAAACACAAATGGTTTATTGTGCTCATTTGTTTCTTTTGTCATGCTACAGCATTAAAGCTGGGTCCTGAATCATTCAAGTTTGATGGTGCAGTAGAGGCTGTGGCAGTCCGGCAGGCTGAAAAGTATTACATCCTCCGTCCAGAAGTAATTGAAACCTATTGGTACCTGTGGCGATTCACTCACGATCCAAGATATAGGCAGTGGGGCTGGGAAGCAGCACTGGTAAATAAGCCAATATTTCATTTTATGTGCAAGAGCGTTAAATCAAGCCTTCCCATAGTGCCATATGCCCTCATCCGTGTTACCTCATGTTCAGTAATTGTAGTGCTACTTTCATTTATCTGGTGGAAAACCTCTGTTACTCAATTTAAGTTTCAAGTTTCTTTTTTTTTAAGATTTTATTAGGGAGAGGGAGAGCACGAGCAGGGGAGGGAGGGACAGAGGGAGAGGGATAATTTTACGTAGAGTCCCCCACTGAGCACAGAGCTTGTCCCTGTTGCGGGGCTCCATCCCAGGACCCTGAGATCATGACCTGAGCTGAAGGCAGATGCTCAACTAACTGAGCCACCAGGTGCCCCTTAATTTAAGTTACTTTAGCAGTAGAAGTAAACCTTAGAATCCAGTTTAGTTCTTGATTAAAACTATTTTCCTACTGGTGTTCACTCATTATTCTTTTTGAATAATAAAAAGTCATTTAAAAGGCCTTATGGGTTTCAGTATGATTATACAGTTTCTTTCCTTGCCAATAAAGGCTTAACCTCTAGAAAACAGAAATCATAAAACTGCCCAGACTCACAGCCTGGGTAGATTACCCACTATTCACTTCAGCTTGTGTTCCAAGTAATTTCTCAGTGGACCATCATAAGAAGAATCAGTGAATTGTTAAAATTTTTCTAGATTGAAAGACTTTATTTACTTATCTATTTATGAGACATTTTTACTGGTTAGTAAGTAAAGAAGGCAAGTGGTTTATTCTTAAAATAGCCTTTCAGAGAACCCCATGGCTATCAGTAACTAGGGAGGAAGAAAAATATTAGTCTTCTAATGAAACTATAGTGTATTCCCGGGAGTGAGGGAGTATTTTATTCTTTGAGATATACTAATTATGATAAATAGCAGTAATTATGATAAATATTCATATTTCAGTTGTTTAACTTAAGCTTGCAACCTAGATAGAATGATGACATTCTAGGTGAGATAAATAGTGTTAGTAAATTTCTTAGGTAAGAACATGCAAGATATGTTTTAGGGCAGAACGTAAACCAATTTATGTAAAAAGAAGGTTTCACAGTGGCAACTGGAGTATAAAGAACGTGAACTGAAATAATTACACTTTAAATTCATGTTTCAGAAGTATGCCATGATGAGGAAAGGCAGGGGTGGAGACAAAAGAGGAGGATTCACATCTTAAATAGAAGTTGCTTTCTTGTCCATCACAGGCCTCCCTGTTGGGTGTGAAGAAGGTAAAAGGAAGACAGGCTGAGACAGAAGAATAGTATGTTGTATGTCTTCTGTAGCTTTAGCTATTCCATTCACATCTTCAGACTTCCAAACTTGAGTATATTTGCATGAAAACTTGCCTTCGAGAATGACTCTAAATGGCTTAAAGATTAGTCATGCCTCCCTGCTACTTTCGCAGTATCCTTAAACTGCTCTGATAGTTTTCTGGTGGTAGAGACACATGATCATTGCATGGAACATGGCATTTAAAAACTCCTGAATTTAAAATATGTTTAAAATATTTAGATATAGAGACGGGGGCCCTGGGTGTCTCAGTTGGTTCAACGGCTGACTCTTGATTTCAGCTCAGGTTGTGATCTCAGGGTCCTGGGATCGAGCCCTTTGTTGGGCTCCATGCTCAGTGGGGAGTCTGCTTGAAGATTCTCTCTCCCTCTCTGTCTGCCCCTCCCCTCACACGGGCACATACCCTCTCTCCTCTCTCTCTTAAATCTTTTAAAAAAAACATTTAGATAGAGAAAAGTACCAAACTCTTTGGTAAGAAGACTTTTAAAACCCAGCTGTAGTAAAAATGGAACTATATAAAAATGAATAGCTTGATTAAATAAAAATTTCCAGTGTTAATTAGCTTTTCATTAGAGAGGAGGAAGGCCAGAAGAGTAAGAAAGGTGGCAAGATTAGGAACAAGAAGCCATGGCAGTAATGATTAAATAACTGTACCTTCATTTGACAGTATCTCAGGGTTAGGTAGAGAAAGAAAAGAACCACATGTGATTCAACTTCTCATGAATGGCTATTTTTGAAGTGATATACCTGCATAAGCAGGATATTTGCTTGCTTTGAATTAAAAACAGGGTTTTGAATGGGTGTTTTTTGATTCAGTGTATTTTATTTAGAGATGTTCAGAGATATAAGAAGATATCTAAATTAAGAATTTATCTCCCAGCTGGGCAGTAGAGCACAGTAGTTAATAATAATGTGGAGCAAATTATTACTCTTTGCCTTAGTTTTCCAATCTGAAGTAGAGCCTATTAAGACAACCTCATGGGTTGTTAGATATTTAAATGTTAATACATGTGAAGCCTTTAGAAGAGCCTTCAGCATGTAGCAAAAACTTCATAATGGTTCGCTCTTAATATTGTAATTATTGTAGTAGGTACGTGGGTGGGTACTTCCTGCCAGTTGGTACCACCTGTAATACCTAACTTGTAATTTAATGTCTATCATACAGTATGTTTGCAGTGAATATTACCTCATTGCTATTACTATGGAGAGCTCCTAGGTAATACTTTTTTAAAGCATGTTTTGTATTGTTTATCCTTAGAAGTGAAAAAATTGCCTTTAAAATTTAATTCAAACTGACCTCCCCTCATTTGTCAAAATTAATAAGGCTTTATTGTGCTAGATAGATCTCTAATTCAGTGTGAATAGCCCAAACTTGAGTTTCCTAAGTGAGGAAAATGTAAGACGTTTTTAAAAGATTAGAGTTTTGGAGAGGGAAGAGTTCCACAGGAAACAGGATACCTCAGTTAATTTTTCCAGTGTGAGAATATTTCCATTTGATAGTAAATCTTATTCTTAACCTGTCGAATTCTCATATAGATCTTTGTGAACTTTTGACTGTGGTTTCTTAATTTGTCCTTCAAAACTTGAAATTCTGTGGAACTGATTCTTTTGTCTGATCTCTTTCATAGGCTATTGAAAAGTATTGCCGAGTCAGTGGTGGATTCTCTGGGGTGAAGGATGTGTATTCTTCTACTCCTACACATGATGATGTACAGCAGAGCTTCTTTCTTGCTGAAACGTTAAAGTAAGTAGATGCCTTTAAAAATTTTTTATTGTAGGCTGGTTTTGCTGTATGATCACTACATGATGAATTATGACTATGTGGTATGTTATACCAGATTTTATTACAAGTATCTTTTTATGTCTTAAATTTTTAGCTGCGTCTCAAGAAGAATGACTTTAACTATGAGGTAGATATTTTGTCAAATAAGAGTTTAGTACCTCATTTTGTCCTTGGCTCTGTGGTGTGCATTAGAATCCCCTGGAAGACTCCTGAAAACATACATCACTGGGCCATACCTGCAGAGTTTCTGATTCAGTAGGTCTAGGGCGAAACCTAAGAATTTGCATTTCTGACAAACTCCCAGCTAATACTGGTGATGCCAGTCCTGGGACCACACCTGAACTTCCTGCTCTGGCTGATGAAATCAGTTCAGAATAATCATGGAGTTTTGAAGGTACTAGAGAGTATATGATCATAGTCATGCATCCTCCCTGTGAGGTTTCCTATAAAGATACACATAAAAGGAAGAGTGGGAAAAAAAGACAGCTATTATTTGAGCTTACTCAGAACTCCAGGGAGAGCTCTCTGAACTGACCTGGAAGAAGGTGGAGACCTGAAATGTGTCCACTTCCCTAAGGACCTACAAAGTAAGTATCTTTTGATATACCCTCTCTTAAATTTCATATATTTCCTGTTTTATCTATACCTGAATGCTTCATAAACTGTCATTTCATTTGCTCAAAAAAATGTTTATTTCCAGGCATTGTTGAGGTTACTTATGGATATATCCGTAGAGAAAAAGGACAAAAATCCCTACCCTCCCATGGTCTACATTTTAGTATACTTGTAGCTGACATTTTGGGACATTAAAATTGAAATGTGCATATCTCAAACTAAGTTTCTTATCATAAATGGCCATCTTATTCCAGTTTTTCTTTTATATTATCCCTAGCACTCTTCTTTTCCTATCTTTTCAGCTTCTACATTATAAAGTTATTTCTTTTTTCTCTAATATTTCACTAAGTCTTTATGATTCCTGTTACACTGTTTCTTTATTTTGCCCCCTCCTTTCCATATCTGTGACCGACCCTAAACCAGGCCCTTATTGCCACTGATGGTTTAGAACATCTGCTTGGTAGTCAGCCCCTGGCCTCTGGTCACCCCTTATCCCTTGTTGGATTCACCCTGTGTGATGAGGCTGAGACCATGTGAGACAGAGCACTGGGCGAAAAGGTAAAACCACAGCAGCTTGAGTTATATACTTGCTGCACCCTAGCTGTCAAAATAAATTTTCTCTGCCTTCTGTTTTCATATCCATAAACTGTGGAATTTGACCTAAATTATGTAGGATCTCTTGCCTTTTTTAGACCAGGAAAATTGTAAGGATAGCACAATGAATGTTTGTGTATCCTTCACCTAGATTTACCTATTGCTAACTTTTGCCACACTCCTCTACCCCTGTGTGTATATGTCTGTGTACATGTACACATACACATGGTTTTACTTATTTTTAAAAATTATTTGCACTCTAATTTGAGAGTTAGCAGCATTCTGATACTTAACACAAGAGTTTGGGAGGAAGGGGAATAATCCTACATGATCACAGTGCATTTAGTACATTTGTGAAACTTAACGAGCTTACAGTACTGTTGTTTAATACATAACCGACTTTCAGATGTTTCCGTTGTTCTAATGTACTCACAACTATTTATTTATGTATTTATATATATATTTTTGAAGATTTTATTTATTTATTTGACAGAGAGAGACACAGTGAGAGAGGGAACACAAGCAGGGGGAGTGGGAGAGGGAGAAGCAGGCTCCCCGCCGAGCAGGGAGCCCGATGCGGGGCTCAATCCCAGGACCCTGGGATCATGACCTGAGCCGAAGGCAGACGCTTAACGACTGAGCCACCCAGGCGCCCCACAACTATTTATTTTTAACTTCAGTCTCGGATCCAACAAAGGATCATTTGTTGCATTTGGTTGTCATGTCTCGCTAGTTTTCTTTAACCTAGAGCATAGTGTTCCTGTTTTGCCTCTGTCTTTTATGACACTGACATAAGTATTCAGGCTAGTTGCTCTGGAGAATGTCCCTCAGTTTAGATATTTGTGATTTGTTTCTTCATGATCGGATTTAGGTTAAACGTTTTGGGCATGAAAGAGGCACATGATAATAGGTTAGCCCATTACTGGTGACTCTAAGTTTGATCATAAGGTTAGATTTGATTACAAGGTCATGTAAAGAGTCTTTTTTGTTTTTGTAAGTGATAAGTGATCTGTGGAGTAATAACTCCCTTACTGGGTGAATATCCTTTTTCCAGCAGTCTTTCACCCAGTGTTATTAGCATCTTGCTCAATGAACTGTTACTGTAGTAGTGGTAAAATGCTAATTTGGAGGCTTCTTCGAGTGTTAAAAAGAAATTACTTTATTTTCAATATTCATATACCATTTTCTTGACATCACTCTCCTCAAAAAGCTACAGCTCAAAAAGGTTCATCTCTAGCTTCATTTCTCATTTCTTTTACTATAGATTCTATTCTTAAATCAAGCTAATCTATAGTCCAATATATATGTGTGTGTGTGTGTATATATATATGTGTATATATATATTCCTTTGCATTTCATTGTCTACTTCATATTTCATTGGCTCTGGCAGGAATGCCTTTACCGTTTTTATCACTTCCCCTCTCTTGTTTCTAAATTCAGTTCAGATCTCATCTCTTACAAATTGGCTTTCATAATTAATTCTCAAATTCCTCATCAATATAGACCTTGAGTACTTTCAGTACATGGTATAGGGCTGCAAACATGTGCCATGCTGCCTTTCCCTTTCCAGTACATATATGGAATATCACCAGATCACCAGTTGACCTTGGTACTTTTCACTGCTGAGTTCAGGAAGAATCCTTTTGAACACAGCATTCTAGGTAACCAGTTACATATCTACATAAATAACTACTACATATATATATATATATATATAAAACTACAATATTCAACTTTCAGAAAAATACATATACATTTGGATCAATAAAATTGAAAAAATCAAATAAGAACAATCATACAGGTAATTATAACAAAATCTGGGCTGAGGAAATTATCAGTTGAGTACTGCATTCAGCACTGAGCTTCCTGGTAGCTAAAGCAAAAAGGAGTATTTTATTCAGTGTCATTCTCATCTTTGTGAGTTGGGAGAACATGTTACCTTAACAAATGAGACAAAATTTTTTTCTTACCACTAAATTATAAGATGACTTAATTTGATAGCTCATTAAAGACTGAACTATTAGATGAAGCACATAAAAATGCCCTTTTTATAAGTCAAAAAGAGCTGAATACTGCCAATTTTTCATGGTTCAACCTAGTACATAATGGCAATTGTCTTCAAACAGTGATGTTATAGAAGATGTCAGACTCTTTTTTTTTTTTAATATTTTATTTATTTATTCATGAGAGACAGAGGGAGAGAGAGAGAAGCAGAGGGAGAAGCAGGCTCCCAAAGAGCAGGGAGCCCGATGTGGGACTCGATCCCAGGACCCCGGGATCATGACCTGAGCCGAAGGCAGACGCCCAACCATCTGAGCCACCCAGGCGCCCAAGATGTCAGACTCTTAATATGACTTATTCTTTATAAAAACTGATGGCATAATATAGAATGTTTGAATCAAGACATTTCTGTGAAGACTAATGTAGGTTTATATTTTTCTTACTATTAAGATAGAGCTTAAAACTCTATAGCAGAATGAAGATTAGTATGATTTCATAGGTTTTTCTCAAATACCAATTAAGGCTTTTGTCAGAAGCTGAGTAACTGTTAACTGAAGATTGCATATTCTGTCAAGTAGTTCATATTTATTGTTAATTCATTAAGGGGCAATAATCCATAAGTTTTAGCTACCAGAGATGGCAACTGATTAGGTTGGCAGTGGCACAGTTAAAGGTAGAAGCCTGTGTTCTTGACCTACTTGAGGGCCATTTAACCTCTTACAGATTGTCGGGCTGCCGTACCGTAGATGGACTACAGCTGTAGCTAGACGTTTCTCTCCAGAGGATAAGATGCTGTGCCCTCTGTGTCTGTTTCCCTCAGTAGTTGCCAGTTTGTTTATTTCTATAGCATATATACTGATGGCACAATAAAAACTATGTAATGAGTAAGGTCAGGAGGTAGATTAAAACTCTCACATTCTAATAGAGGAAATAAAACACTTGCAGATTTGTAAAAAATGTTAAATATAGTAAGTGCATAAGAGAAATGTTAATAAAGTGAGTGAGTCTTCTGGAGGAGAGTTTGCTTAACCTAGAAAGCATAAAGGAAGAATTCATGGAAGTGGTGGCATTTAAACCAGACTTGAAGGCATGATGAGTAGAGGAGGATGAATTCGTATTTGGGGAGGCAGACAATGAATTATTAAGGATGAGATACAAACACTCTTTAGTGTAACTGACGGGTGCTAGTATCTTATTAGATGTAGAGAGATTCGGAAAGAAGGAACAGTAAGATACAACATTAAAGTTTTCAGTGTGGGTAACTAAGGATTATGACACCAAGTTGCAAGAAGAAATAGATTTTCAGAAAAGATAATGAGTTACTTTTGACATATGTTCCCAAGAGGCATTTGAAAATATAGATCTGGAGCTCAAAATACAAGTTCAGGAAGATTTTTAAGGATGAAGAGAAAAGAAGGCATGTATCTGATCCTTTGAAGATGCCTACATGTAACAAAGGAGGTGTTCCAGGTTAGCCTGGCAGAGTGAACACCTGCATTTATCCTCCACTCTCTCTTGAAAGCCATTAAAATGATTATAGAGGGCTAAGAAGGTGTAAAGAACTAGGACCAAAAAAATGAGAAAGAAATCAACAGCGGACAAGAGATGTCAGCAAATTTTTAGAAGATGGAAAACAGAAAGCTAAAGTACCTGCAGCAGAAGGAGTTAATTGAACAAACTGGTGAGCGCTTGAGAACCTTGGAAAGAGCCAAGACTGCAGGGTGCGTGGTAGGATTGAAAACTGTAGAATT